CTTTCTCTGTCAAATAAATAAATAAAATCTTAAAAAAAATAAAAATAAATAAATAAATAAAAACAAAATCTCAGGGAGAAAAAAAAATCACTTTCCTTGTCCTTTTTTTTGGTTTCTGCTGGCAGCTGCTGAAATGGGTTGCGGATTGAACAAGTTAGAGAAACGCGATGACAAACGGCCTGGAAATATCTATTCGACTTTAAAGAGGCCTCAGGTGGAGACCAAGATAGATGTGTCCTACGAATACCGCTTCCTGGAGTTCACGACCCTGAGTGCTGGTGAGTACAGGCGGCCAGAGCTCCCGGTGGCCCTTGAGCTCAGACCCAGCCCCGTGCCCGAGGTCCCCTCCCACCCTGGGGCAGGGCTGGTGGGGCGGGGGAGGTGAACAGGGTTGGGGGTGGGGGGGCTATGGGGAACTGGAAAAGATGGGCTTTCGAAAAGGTACTGCTTACAGAAATCCAGATATTTATGTGGAACTCTTCACTTTTTAAAGGATAGCAACTAATTTATATTGTAACAAGTTAAAACCAGGTGTGAGTCAACAAGTACAGACATGGGGGTGGGCTGAGTTTGGCCCATGGGCCAACTAGTTTGCAGACTCTGTATTGTAGCAAGCCATGTGCAAAAGGAAAATTTGCCTTATCTCCTATTAATGTGCCTGTCCACCTAAATTTACCTGCCTGTTGTCTGGCATCTTTCAAGAGTGCTTGTCCATCTGGGCTTGGCTTCGCCTCCTCCGAGCTGCAGGGTGTCCGGGTCACCTCACTCACAGTGTCGCAGTAGCCCTGGGGTGACTGGCAAGCAATAGCCTTTTCACCCAGAACATTTGCTGAGCACGACTGTGTGCACAGTATTGGGCTGATGCTGTGGGGAGATCGTGCAGTGTGTCCTGGTTTCCTGGATCCTCTTACCTAGTGCGAGAGAAGACACACACACATGAAAAACAACAACAACAAAACCTCAACAGACTGTAATTATAAGTAAGAAAACATAAAATATGTCTTCAGAAGAAGAAAGATCATTCTTTCGGTGAAGGGGGCAGTCCCTAGAAGTTGCACACAAACAGGAGTGCTAACTGACTCAGGCACCTCGCCACTTTGTCCCTGGGCTGCCGGGTATATTTTAAGCTCCTATTACCCGAGAAGAGAATTCGTGGGAAAAGCGCTCATATTTGGGGGTTTGAGTCCGGCTCTGCTGTGGAGGGGCTGGGCTTCTGTCGAATGGGCACGTGAATACCCGCCTCACAGGGCAGCTGTGGAGACCAGAGGAGGGAGGGTCTGAGAAGCTCTTAGCACGAGGCCAGCACGTCGTGGGGCAGCTAGTGTTACATCCACTCCTGTTCCTGCTGTGACCACCTTGCACCAAGCCTCCCACTGCCTCTTGAGCCCTGAGACACATGGCCGGCTGGGCGTCTCTGCAGGGACGTTCTGGGTGCCCCTGCACGTCCCCCACGTCCCCCACGTCCCCCACACTGAGTCCAGCGTCTTCCTCATCAGATTGGCTTCCTGCTGGTGCCCTGGGTGCATAATGTCACCACCGTCCTCTCAGACGGACTTGACACCTTAGTCATCTGTGACCGTGCCTTCTCCTTGCCCACGATTTCCACCGTGTCACCCAAGCCTATTGAAACTGCTTCTGAAGATGCTTGTAACGTAGCTGATTTAACATGAGCAAATCTGTACGCAAAATGATTGGGAGCATTTGGTCACCCATTATTTGTTTGGTGAACATTTGAGTGCCTGCAACGGTCTAGGCCTTGTAGAATGATGGAGAAAACCGAAGTATGTGTAGGAAAAGAGAGCGCAAGGAAATATGCCAACATGTTAAATATCGTTAGGAAGCTGAGAATACGGGGGGATTCTTTTTCTCATATGTATAT